CCAGCCAAAAGGCAGCTTTATTTGGAACAGCTTGCATCTTCAACGATATCTTTAACCTCATTAAACAGCAACATTTGCCTATCCCACATTCTTGGGAAGGATTTGAATAAAAATGGCAAATCCTAGCTAAACATCTAGCTGATTGTCTGTGGAGATTCTCAGTCATCCAGGTCATGGTTGTCCCAAAGGTGCTTTTTCAGGAGGCAACTGGACTTTCTTGGGGGTTTTTTTGAAAACGTTTCTTTGAAGACTACAGGAACCAGGAGCACTACTCAGGTGACCAGAGATTGCTTCCTAATGGCGTTCCTAACAAAGCTAGACTGTCATGGAGACAAGTTGTTGTGTGATAACCCAATTTCATCTTGCTTCAATCTTGTCATAGCTATAGCTCTTATCACTACTGCTCTGTTTTAAAGATACACTTGAAAAGTATGTATCCATGTATGTATGTATGCATGCATGCATGCAAACATGCATTATTTATTTATTTCATTTAGAAACTACCCATATCCTTCACAGAGTTAGGGAGTTATGTTAGGAAGTTAGGATAGCATTTCTAGTCAGTTACTGGACTATCACAATATCATTTTACTCAAAAACTTACATAAGTAAAACAATGTGCAACAAGCAGCATTCCAAAAACAAAGCTCACAAAACAATAGTTGGATTTATATAATTTGTTGTTGTTCTTAGTTGCAAAGTTGTGTCCGACTCATCGCAACCCCATGGACAACGTTCCTCCAGGCCTTCCTTTCCCAATTTTGAACCAATCAGTGGTTCCGTGTGCAGTTCTCACTGTTGCTTCTTGACCCATATATAGGTTTCTCAAGAGACAAATAAGTTGGTCTGGTAGTCCTATCTCTCTAAGAATTTGCCACAACCTGCTGTGATCCACACAATCATAGCATAATCAATATAGCAGAAGTAGATGTTTTTCTAGAACTCCCTAGCTTTGTCCATGATTCAGCTTATGTTGGCAATTTGATCTCTAGCTCCTCTGCCTCTTCAAAATCCTGCCTGTACTTCTGGTAGTTCTCAATCCACATACTGCTGGAGTCTAGCTTGTAGGATTTTAAGCATAACTTTATTAGCATGTGAAATACTGTAAGTGCAATGGTGCCATTGTTTGAACATTCTTTGGCATTGCCTTTCTTTGGAATTGGAATGTAAACTGTAATGTAATAATAATATAATGTAATATAATAATGTGATGTAATGTAATCCATGAAGAGGATTTATACAATACAGCATGTCAAAATCAAACTAATGGGATAGGTCAGTGTTTGAAACCAGCCTTAGAAATTTAGAAAAGCTGAGACAATAAGCTTCGTATCAATGGATTTATTATTCAATATTTATGTAAAGTGTATATCATGACCTCAAGAATAAACTGGGAAATAAACATATTATAAAGCCGCAGTGGTGCAGTGGTTAGAATGCAGTACTGCAGGCTACTTCTGCTGACTGCTGGCTGCCTGTAATTTGGCAGTTCAAATCTCACTAGGCTCAAAGTTGACTCAGCCTTCCATCCTTCCGAGGTCGATAAAATGAGGACCCAGATTGTTGGGGGCAATATGCTGACTCTGTAAACCGTTTAGAGAGGGCTGTAAAGCACTGTGAAGCGGTATATAAGTCTAAATGCTATTGCTATTATTCCAAGCAATTTATATTTATGCCTTGGCAAGAAGTTCTTGTTAACTAAGCATGTCCGAATACATACATTTAATTATTTTTTCCATTAAACAGAATTATTTCTTTTTCTAAAATAAGAGTACAAAGTAAGGGTTGCTGATGGAGTTGTCTACACCTATTCTAGAAATAAACGTTCCATGTTTAATGAATTTCTCTTGCAAGCAGCCCATATTGTATAGTGGTATGTATAAATTATTACTAACTAAAGCTTATTAGTACACTACTGTACCATCTAATTAGGACAACCCAGAATCAATATGGCACTGGTAGATTTCAGTAATATTTGATTTCCTTACCACCTTTCCTGTACCTCCCCTAACTTTAGGAGCAAAAGAATAGAAAAACATGCCTTCCCTTTTGTTGAGCAATAAAGCAGTAGTTTAAGCCTAGGAATTGCTAGTCAATTTGCAGATGTCTCGCAACATTTTAAAACTTAAAATAGTATATAACGCAATTAGACAACTCACAACAGCAAAGAAAATTCAGTATGGATGCTAGGATTAGAGAAAAAGGTTTAAATTTGAAGAGCAGGTGTAAATAAAGAGATAGTAAACAGTTATTCAAAATTATGATGGAACATCAGAGAAAATAGCTGAGAAAGGAATTGGGCAAAGTTTTGAACCTATTTAAAACAAAGTAAAAGAAATGCACTGATTATGTATTGTACCTAAAAACCTGTGTGTGATTACTTTTGTTTTCTAAGATACTTGAAGATTCATATTCCACAATTTGGAATGGGTTTTTAAATTTTTCTCCCTTAGTCACCTCTGCTCCCAGGGAGACTCAAAGAACAAAGATCAGCTAGCAAGTTCCTCCCTGGCTTTGTAACTTCAAGAGGAAGAAAATTGTGTTTGGCAAGAGTTTTAATCATCTGTCCCTTCAAGGTTTCTGTATTACAGGTAGAAGATATTAGGTTATGGCCAGGGGTGGATTCTACTTACCTTTACTACCGGTTTGCAATGGGACCGTGCGCGCATGCTCTTCTGCACATGCACAGAAGCTTCTGCACATGCGTAGAAGCGTTCTGATGACGTCGGGGTCGGTGAGCGGAACCTCCCACCGGTTTTACTACTGGTTCTATAGAACCGGTGCGAACCGGGGGGCAACCCACCATTAGTTATGGCCCCTTGTGTATGTTTACTAATCCAGCAGAAACCTCTGGACACTTGCTTGGCTTATGCCACCTATTATAGTTTATTTGATATTTTTGACATGTTTTGACATGTATTAATATAAAATATGACCCATAAAATAACACCATGCTGTTTTCTTTGACAGCTATTTTTAGCAAGCTTAATTTGAGCCCAATTCCAGAAAAAAATTGACATGTCTTTTTTTCCCCCAGTTATCCAACCTTAGTTATAAGTAACGAGGCAAAATAATATTAATCCTTATCAATGTGACTCATACAAAAGACATGTTTACTAAAACGAGGGTAAACAGACTTCAGGCTTATAGGACTATTGTTTGCAAGAACCTTACGGGGGGTCTTATTCTGTTTGCCAACAGAAATCTGCCTCAGACATGCTTATTTTCTTGAATCACTGCTGTTTCTTTCAAGCAGCCTATTGAATATTGTTCTATTTACTTGCTCTTTCTGCAAATGCAGAAGTATCTCTTCCTGCTCAGTCTCTGAATTAGTTGATTCAACCTGCTACTGTGCTTCTGTAATGGTAGCTGGTTGTCTGACTGCTCCAGAAAGCCAAGCTCATCCTCCAGCATGTTTTTCTATTTCTGAGCCTCATCTGCAGATAACTGAAATCCCACTGGCTCCTTTTTTTACAATTCAAAGTCTGAGTCATCCCAAAAGCCCATAACATATATTAAATTCTACTTTGTTAGGGTATACAGGACAATCTAGTGTAGCATGCCTTGCTGAAATACCCTACAGTTCAGTTTTATCTTAAGTATGTTTTTATTCATAAATATATATGCCTGTGTTTATGTATGTACATACGTGTGAGTTAGTAAAAACTAAACAACAATGAAATAGTACTTGTTTTCAGTTTGGAAATGCTTCCATATTTTCCATGTATGTTTCTTCTGTAAAGTGAGAATTACGGTGGAATTATGGAATAGAAGAAACAGGGATAGAAGAAAGCTCAACACAATGAAACATGAAATGAAATGACTACAGGTTGTTTAGATTTTGGCAAATTGAGATTGGATGGGATTAGATGTAGTCAGAAGATCTGACACTGTTTATTATTCAGGACACAGAAAAGAAAGAACATGGTTGCTTTTGTAATTAAGAAATATCTAGGAGGATCAGTTCTTGGCTACAATGCAATCAGTGACTAAATAGAATCAGAGTTTGTGGACAGTTCTTTAATAAGACAATCCACGTTTATTCTCTAATCACTGATGCAAAAGAAAAGGAGTTTGATGAGTTTGATGATCAAATTCAACTTGAAAATGCCAGAACATGGAAGCAAAATATGTTGCTTGTGATTGGAGACTGCAATGCCAAAGTTGGAAACATTGAAGGGGAAAATGTAGTTGGATTGCATGGCTCAAAAATCTGAAATAAAACAGGAGATCGACTTAATTAATTTTGGCCATTCAAATTTTTTTTCATAGTTAACACTTTCTTCAAATAACTAAAATGATACCTCTATATAAGGCCATTTGATAGAGTATATAGAAATCAATTTGGTTATACAGGTAATCCTCATTTAGTGACAGCCTCATTTAGTGACTGTTCACAGTTTAACTGATGAAAAAGTAACTTTACCCCCAATTCTCATATTTACCTCCTTCACAGGTCTTAAAAGGAAAGGAAAGTTGAAGTAAGATAATAAGCAAAGTTGCTGTTTCATTTAGTTACTGCTTTGCTTAATTATCAAGTTGATTTTATCATTTTTATTATTACTAAAAGAGATGGAAAGGCTCAGTTATAGCATCAAAGGCATGGGCGGATGCTGTCTATGGAACAGATCATGAACTGCATATGTGCAAGATCCAAATTAAAGAAATGGAAGAAAGCCAACCAGTTTCCATGATATGATTTTGAATATATACTCATCATTTTCAAAGAGAAAGTTGGAAGGAAAAAGAAAGAGGATAACTAATAGTAAGGTGAATAGACTCTGTTACACTGGCTGTATGTGCACCATTGGAAGATCTAAGGATCAGGTTAGGGACAAATCTATCTGTGTGGCCAATAAGAGTTAACACTGACTTGATGACATATAATCAGTCAGTATTTTTCTTAGAATACTCTGAGCCAATAGTGTCAGAAATACTGACTATTAAACATACATAAGGATCCCTCGAGGTTGCATATTGACTTTGAAAACCACCTTTCTTTCCTTCCTTCTTTCTTTCTTTCTTTCTTTCTTTCTTTCTTTCTTTCTTTCTTTCTTGCATCAACACAACAACTGGATAGAAAATAAATTTAATTAATACATATAAAAGAAACATTATTAAAAATTTGACAATTTATATTCAATATTTGTGTGTGTGGAGTGGAATCTTTCCCACTCCATTCTGAGCTTCTTCCTGGCCTACTGCCAAATTATCACACAAATCGCTTTCACACCTCCTACTTCCACTTATCACCTCCCTGCTATGTTCTTTCTACTTTCTGACATCTCATATGTGGAAAAAATGTTTTGTGCAGCTTTTTCTAAACCAAGTACAAGTTTGTACACCACAGTACAAGAATACAGTGCAAAGAGTAAATTTCAAATATGTATAATAATGACATACAGTATTTAAATGTTGATATATTTCTTAGTTAAAGTACAAAACGTAGAAAGTATTATAGTATATGACATATATGCTGGAAACTTTTTCTTTCAAGTCATTTTGGACTTCTGGAGCTGCTTCCTGCACTTTTCTTGACAGCATATTTCAGAAGTGACTTGGGAGTTCTTTTCTTCCCAAGGATGAGAAAAGTAACTGCCCTAAGATCGCCCAAAGGCAGGACTAAAACTCATCATCTCCAAGTTTCTAATCTAACACTTTAACTACTGCACCAAATGTACATGTCCACAGATTATAATATAAAGTCTTAGTCACTTATAACTGCAATCAATATTTTCTAGGCATTTAATCCTTCCTCCCTCCCTCCCTTCCTTCTGGAATTTGGTATAGTAATGGAAAGAAAAATAAAAAGGAAAACATTATACAAAAAGCATTTGGATCATCCTTCTCTTTCATTTTTCCCCATTCTTTCCTTCCTCTCTGGGTGTATTCTAAACTTGATTAAATTTTAATTATTATTAATTTAAAAATTGAAATTTTGAACATGGATGTCATGCAGCCTGAACAGATACTAATTGAACGTTTTTTTGAAGGGAGTAGAGAAATTAATTCAATCTGCTTTCACGCCCTGGGGACTCTGAGGTCTGGAGCGGGTCAGTTACTAGTTCAAGACTGATTGGCTACTGCTGTCCAGGGAAAAGTACAATCTATCTGCCTCAGCCTAATTGCAGCAGTGAAGGGTGCCTGAGGTTGCTGCAGAGCAGACTGAGAGGGTCTCCTTCTCACCCTGAGCTACAGCAACAATCTTTGCTGCTGCTGTTAAGCTGAGGCAGGGAGCTCGTGCAGGACTCCTGGCAAGTTGCAAGCCCATAGTTTTGGTGATTGGTGACTAAATTAATTATTTAATTTTAAAATGCAATGTTTATATTTTGTTGGGGTTTTTTTTTTTTGTATTTTCTTAAATATTACCCAGCTGCATTTTAATCTGGTTCAGCCCACACTCTTGTGGGCCACGTGCAGCCGGCATGTTTGACACTTCTCCTCTGGTCTATAGAGTTGTTGTTTTCATTATTTCTTACGAGGGATAAATTGTTTCAACATGCTTTTAATATAATTTCAACAGGATTTTTCCTACAATCTGCACAGTAAATAGAGATAGAGCAGCAGCGATAAATGCTAGGTGTTACAATACAAATCTAACAAAAAACGCATGACTTTCAGCGGGGACTAAGCAACCCTATAGATTTCTCTCACTGTTTTGGGTTATGACAGGATGAACTGGATGAACTCCGGGCTGAAATGGAAGAGATGCGTGACAGCTATCTTGAAGAAGATGTTTACCAACTACAAGAACTTCGACGAGAGCTGGATCGTGCAAACAAGAACTGTCGTATCTTGCAGTATCGTCTCAGGAAAGCTGAACAGAAAAGCTTGAAAGTTGCACAGACAGGTCAGGTGGATGGAGAACTAATCAGAAGCTTAGAACAAGATCTCAAGGTGGGTGAAGAACTTAGACCTAGTGGTATCTAAGTCACAAATAAAGTCTTCTCCTTAATTGCAAAATGTACGTCGTCTTGACATTTCAGAACTAGAAAAGGGAATTACATTTTATATATGGGAATCAAAGAGTTCTTTGTGTTGTAAATAAGTCAATTTATTTATTAACTTGATTTCTATACCACCCCAATCTCATAACTCTGAAAGAATACATAGATATCCAAGTGACCCCTATGGCCAAAAATGTCTTACTTATAGTAGGTATGCTATTTCATGTATAGAGCAACCAAGCTAAAATTGTTTAACCCATTGGTCATCTCACATTTTAATAACTATAATGTGTTCAGTATGGGAAACTTATATCCCTTTTGGAAACAGTAGCTTGTCTAGAATACAACAGTGAAGTAGCTGACTGAGGTACCTGTCAGTATACTTGGTTCAATTTGTTTTGGACCACTTGATAACTATGTTACCAAGCCAGGTTTAAACTAGGTCTTCATATATTGATATAACTTAATTCATGTAGTCATTTCTTAGAATTATATTCTGCCTTTAGCTTGCACAATTCAAGACAGTATTGCTTGAATTATAATATCATAATGCTCTTCTCTCCTGTTTTCCCATAACAACAACCCCACTGAGACCATAATAATTAACGGGTCTGGTCTATTGCTAAATTTATCTGAGGAAAGCCTGCTACATGTTCTCAGACACATTACAGTTACGCACAAGCCTTTTCTATGGTGGTACCTATACTATTCAATATTCTCCTTCCTCATCAAAGTTTTGTAAGGCACCAAATATTACATGTTTATATTCAGTTGAAGATCAGTCTCTTTGCCTAGATTTTTCTTTTATGAATGTTGGATAAATAGTTCTGTGCTTTTCTTTCCTTTTTGTTCACTTTTTAATAAATATTTTAAATATGTTTTTAATTTATTTATTATTTAATTTTATTTATATATTTTAAGAGATATGGAAATATATAAAATAAATAATGTAAAAGGGCATGTTTTAATATTGTATAATTGTACTTTAAAACTTAGAAACATTCTCAAATGAGATGCTACCTTTCTAATCTTAGGGAAATGTTCCTGTGAAGCAGCATTGAAATATTTTTGCATTATGTGCATTTTGAAGGACTGTGTTATAAAATGGTTCAGAACTGGACCTAGTTTTCACTGCTTGAATAAATACTTTTTTATTGCTCCAAATTGTGCTGAATAAGCATTATGAGAAGAACAAAAGACTACATATATATAGCAAGGTTCCTTTCTACTATACTGTAATAGGTACTTTATCTATAATAATGCAAATATTTTCTTAATTGAAAAAATGGGAAATCAAATTTTGTATGATTTATTATGTTATACTAAATATGATATTAATTGATTTTTAATACCTCAAGAACTTTAACCTTGTAGTTTACATTAACTTAAAAATATTGTGGGATAATTAATTTAAGAATATTGTGGATAATACTGATCTTCAAGTGTTTAAATTTGTTTAATGCTAATATATTACTACTACTACTATTACTAATAATATGATTATTAGTACATAATTATATTTTTATAGTTAGCATTTTTCACTTTTCATTTTTCATATCAGAATGAAACATTTAAAGAATTGAAATAACATATAAATCATCCGGATAATAGATGGATTTATTTAAAAGTTTTTATGGGACATTTTGGAGAAAGAAATATATTATAATTGGCCATATTTGTTATGATCTCTATTTTCTTATATTGGATTTGAAAGAGTTTTTCCTTTACCAGGAAGAACACTTGTTCCTTTCATAACACTTCAACCAGTGGAAGAGAGAAAACACGTATTTGTTGATATTTTTCCATGACTATGTACTAATTCCACAGTGCTTTGTAGATTCAAGCAATCATTTAGATAATATGGACTGTAGAAGGAGAGGGGATCAGCAACCCTTACTTCTTTAACTATTCTTAATTAATGTAATCTGTTGAGTTGTCTATTCTTTTTAAATTATTAAGTATGTTTGTGTGCTTTTTAAAAAACAGGTAGCCAAAGATGTATCTGTCAGGCTGCACCATGAACTGGAAAATGTGGAGGAAAAGCGTGCTAAAGCAGAGGATGAAAATGAAGTTCTTCGTCAACAAATCATTGAGGTGGATATATCCAAACAGGCATTGCAAAATGAGCTAGATAAATTGAAAGAGGTAAGTGCCAACAGTGTTACTTTGGGAATTAGAAATAAAGTGAAAAGCTGTCATAACGTTCATCATTGCTTACAATGTGAGGGATATGGGCAGTTTCTAAATTTGATAAATAAATAAACAGCAATTTAGATCCTATAGTAATACATACATCAAGATGACAAACTACAGACATGGATCATTTAAAGAATAAATTGGTATGAAACATTTAAATTTGATGACTATGGATCAGGCCACCAACTACTAATCACAGAAATACACATCAGACTGATAAAGGAGAACATTTGTAGTTCAGGGTTGAAATGTGTGGTTGTTGGTGTTCTCCGAGCTTGGATGTTTTCTTGCCCAAAAAAGGTAACATCATCAGTGCTAGTAAGGAATGGGATTTGCTCTTAATTTATATTTCTGTGGCTTGCCCTGTGAGTGTTGGTGGGAGTGGTCTTGGAGTATTGTTGCTTGTTAGTTTGATTGGCAGTTCCTTGATTGGAGTATTGTTTACTTGTTGATTGTTGGTCTGATGTTAATCTTGGTGTTGATCATCTGGGTATTGATTGCTGGTGGGGAGGAGTTTTGGTCTTTTTGTTCATTGTCTTGCTGATTGTCTCTTTTTGTATAGTATGTAAATGTTATTTATGTCTATGTGTCTATCGATCACCAATTTGTCAAGAGTGCCAGGCTTCCAGAAATTCTTTATGTTTTTGGACTTGGATTGGTTTAGGACAGGGGTGTCAAACTTGCAACATCACATTGTCATCATGTGATGTATTGCAACTTTTTTTCCTTTTGCTAAAACGGGGGTAGGGGTGGCCAGCATGTGACGGATCCGGCCTGCGGCCCACGAGTTTGACACCCCTAATTTAGGATGTCACAGTTTCCCAGTTGAAACTATGGTTAAGTTTGTCCATATTTTGTGAAATTAAAGAAGAGACTAACTGGGTGAGGGCATAGGCAGAATACCAGTAGCATAATGTGTGAGAATTGTA